GCAGTAAATTATTAAATAAATGTTGCTAAAACACAAATAACTTTTATTTTCATGGCTAGGAAAGTAATTGATAATGTGAACGAAAGGGACAAGTGCCTATGTCACTTTTCTGCTGCACAAAACTTCTGACCTTGTGATCTCTGAACCAACCTCTTCTGTGCTGGTCTCATTTCTTCCTAAAGTACTTAACTAACGTCCAATCTAGAAATCAGGTAATTTAGTTCAAATTATTCTCTAACAAAACACAGTCCAGCCTATTTCTGTGATTGCAAGGTCTCCTGTATTTTCTTTCTTCTCCTTTATCTTCATTGCTTTTCTACAGTTCTTGATTTATGCATAGTGTACATCAAAAACAACCTTTGCACAAAGCAAAACTAACAGCCTGTATTCCCTACCTTTCATTGTGAGACCTGACAGAAATATGGCTTGCAAGTAGAAGCCACTTCAACACAGGCATCTTATCCAGAAGTTAAACTAAAAATAGTAGAGTTTTTTCGATATTCTGTGAGTTATTTGTAGCGCTGTTCCAGGCAAAGCACATTTGACTGAATGGATGTAGGTTAATTTATTGCCAATTAACATAAACATTAAATTACTGATTTGGGTGTTGGGAAGCAAAGAAGACAAACATTTAAACACAAGAGGGGAAAAACCTTTTGTGCTCCCTTTCCCAGGCTCCACATTGCAGCAGGCACTTCTCCTTCCCCTCGCTGTGTCCACTCCTCTCTGTGCAGGCACGGGTCACTCTCCATCCCTCCTGAGGCCGTGGCTGGGGTCAGTGCACCACGGCTGCTGCCTCTCACTCCTTGTTCCTTTTGTTGTTTTGTTCTTCAGCTGGCCCTTCCCCTCCATCTCTTTCCTCCATTCTGAAGAGGCCCATCCATGTGGATATTCTTGGTTCAGTCAGAGGAAAAACGGGGAGTTTCTAACCAGGCAGAAGCCTGAGCAGGTGAGAAAGAATGAAAATAATTCTTTATCTCTCTTGTTGTTCACATTGTTTATAGTTAAGTTCTGCCACTGTGCATCATTCACTGCACACCAATGGTTGAGTTGTTTTCACTCTAGGTCCAATAGCATTGTTCTAGACAAAGCTCTCTATAAAACAGCAGTGTATTTGAAATAAATCAGAGTTCTACTATCTCAGCTTCTGATCTGGAGCCATTTCACACCATCCTGCCTCAACAGCATCACATCCAGGTGCCACAGTCCCTTTGGGCTGGTACCAGCTTGGCGGTGGAGCCTCTCCTGCAGCTCTGGCCTTGGTCCTGCCCTTTTATCTCCCAGCATTTTAGCCTTTTCTTTAATATGTAATAATTTTACCAGAGGTACCACCAGTGCCTAACAGGGCCTGTGATGGGCTCGTTGCTGAGTCAGCTGGAACTGGGATTGTGCAGAAATCGTCCTTGTGAAAAATGTTAATTACTTGTTTTTTTAAAAATTTTTAAAGTTTATTAGTAACAAAATAATTATACAAAATAGTAATAAAATTAGAGTAATAAAAATTTGCATAATGAAGATTAGGATATTATGAGACAATAAAGGCAAAGAATTATGGATGTCTGGATGTTTTTGCCCAGTAAGCTGCCAAAAACATGTTTTGTGAACAAAGAAATAATTTGTAAAATTAATAGTTTGTTGTCTATTTGTATATTTTATATATGATGTATAAATTTTTTTAAATTATTTTTTTTGTTAACTTCTTTTTCTTAATTTTGGTGGTTTTATAAAGATAGAGAGAAGGTGGAAGAAAGTTTTTTTTATAAGGAGGTTGTAACTCTTTAGGTTTTTTGTTGCTGTTATCTCTGTGTGAAGAGTTTCTTGATTATTCTATTCTTTTCTTGAGCTAGTAAAAATATCTTATATTGTATAGTTTTTATTTTAACATTATGTTGTATCCTAAAACTATATTTAACTCACTACTTAAAAAGGTTTAATACAGTATTACAAAATAATTCTCTAGAATAAATATAGTATTCAATTTAATATTTGTGAAGAGTCAATCATAAAATATGCATTTTTCACAACCCTGAAGCCCCCCAGCTGCTGAAATGATACCACCCCCACCCAGTGCCACACCTGGGAGAGCACAGACAAACCAAACAAGTGAAACACAGTAAAAAGAATACAAATCTCAAAAGAGTAGGGTTGAGATTTATTACATTTGCAAGTTAGGAAATTCTAAGCAACTCCAAGCACACTGTCCATACATATTGGGTGTGACACCATCAAATTAAAGGGTTTGCATATTTCTGATGGAGGGATTGAATGGATCTCCTTGGCCACACCCAGTGATTCAGCAATGTGTGTAAATGTCTCCTGGATGGAGTTAAAATGTGGAAAAAGCACATGGAAATGTTGCAGTTTGGCTGGAGTTGGTTCTCCTGTCAGATATGAAGTCTGTGGGTCACAGCAGAGACAGATTCTCGAGAAGAAAGCTCAGCAAAGCTTGTGAAGACATTGCTCATCAATCCTTGAAAGAACCTGTCAGGTTTCCAAATGCTGCATAGCTGAAAGCTGCCTCTGACATCAATGGGAAATGTAGGTGCCCTTTAGAGCACGTGGTGAATAAAGAATAAACACTGCAAGCAGGCTCCCAGTGTTGATGTCTCCATTCATCCTCACACAACAGGGAGAGTCATAACATTATCCTACAGGGATTTTCTGTGAATGAAACATTCATGACTTGGAAAAGGCAGGGAAGATACTCATTTTACCATAGTCAAGAAATGCTGTAAAAGACTAAAAGTAGTCATGATTCAGAGGCCAAGTAATTACATTAAATATAAAATATCTGTTGCACTGGGTCACAGAATTCTGAAATTGTCATGATAATCTCAGGGATAAATCACAAATTTCTGTGAAGTCCCTCAGAGTCTTGACCATGGAGTGTCACTGGCATTTTACACCCCCAAAGTCCTTCAAAGCCTATCTGTGTGTGCAAGCTTGTCCCTAAGCAATTTCTGTAAACACAGTTAGACGAGAATGGAAAAAAACACAGCTTGATATGAATCCTGAGCCTGACTATTCATACCACGAGAGAATCTTCCTACTGTCCATGGATCTGAAAAACAAACACTTGGAGGAGAGGTTCTTTAATATTCACACTACAATCATAAATGAAAAATACTTTTTCTACCCATCAATTCTTAGTATAATTTCAATGATTTCTTCAGAAATCAAATCAAGTGGAGCCATTATGTGAGGACTACTTTGTTAGAGCACGTGAAGCTGTCATCAGCATTTAGAAACATTACTGATTCTCAGGATATTTAGAGACTAAGAAAAAAAGAGTAGGCTTTGACAAAATAAAAAAAAACCAAAATTCTAAGTCTCATCCTTTGGAAAATTAAGATGTCTTTAATTTTCTGATTCCTGCTATTTCTACAACCAGGCAAATTCTATATTAACTTCAGAATTTTGATCCATATATGCCTGTCTATTGTTTGGGCACCTAAGCAGAGATATTTTATGCATTTTTGAACTTCACTTTTTCAGTCCAAAGAATCCCATCACACCACTTCTTCCTTCCAGAATAAACTTCAAAATAACCAAATCTTAAATTTCTTCTGTCGAAAGAAAAAAAAAAAAATCAGCACTCTCAGTCAACCCCGTTCCCTTCCATTTTTGAAGAACCCTCAATTTCAAAGAAACCACGGTATTTTCTGGTCACTCTTTTTCCTCTATTTTTGTGTAAATCAATGTTGTGACCAATGGTTCATTGCCCTGTTTTGACCTGCAGTGATTAAGGGCAAGGCTGCCTGCAAGTAACCAGAAATAGCTCTGTGCATCATCTGAATGCCTTATTATGCCTTTTTCTGTCTTCTGATGAAGTGTTTTTATTTGGTTTGGTTTTTTTAAGTCCCATTGTTTTGCTGCCCTTGTATCCCAATTCCTCTTCTCAGCCTTTTCTCAAAGAAACAACCTCAAGCTTTTTTTTCCCAGTTGCTCTAAATATTCCCACCTCTGTAGCTGATAAAAGCAATAGTTTTGCTTAAATTGGTAAACATGTATGTGCATAAAAAACTTAAAAATGAGATTTTTTCTTTACTTCCTACTGCCCCAAGATTTTATTTCCCAATGAAAAAATTGTCAGGCTGTCAAAATTACATCATCTGGCAAGAGTTTGTTGGCAGCATGCCCAGAGGGGAGCTGTGTGCCTCATGTGTGGAGCACCAACACGATGACTTTATGGGTATTTGTGTTTTGCCCTTTGAGAAGTCCCTTCTGTCACAGTTGAACTTTTCTATAGTATAGCTAGAGCATAGAATCCTTTTTAAAAAATCCAGAATTACAATAAAATGCTTAAAGAGCAAAATATTATTGATGAATGAACTCAAGTGTGGCTTTCCTGTGAGGAAAAAGCTGTCTTAATAGAATTCATTTAGCAGAATCCCTCACATTGCACTGGTGCACAGCTGAAACCATAAGAGCCTTGTAGAGAGGATCTTAAATATTAATGTAAATTCAGAAATTATCTTTAAGCTTTCATTTGATTTAATATCAAACATATTCCTTGAAAAAAAAAGAGTATTTTTGCATTGAAGATGTGTTTTAAGACACTCAAATCCATACAATTTGAGATTGAGATGACAGAGCTTGCAAGATAAATATTCCTGTATGATTGATTTTTCAGAATCTGCTTTTGTGAAAAAGAAGGAAAAAAAAAAAAAAGAAGAGAAGGCTTTTTCTCTTTTTCTGTCCCTACATCCAAGGCAGGTGTTAAAGCACTTCTTGAACAAATGGTATCCCAAGTACTCTCAAGTATATAGGCAAATGTGAAAAAGTTACAAATTAAGAAAACAAAAAGGATCATGCAATTAAAGTGTCATATTGAACTTGGCTGTGACTGCTGGCATTCAAATCCCTGCTGTTATTTGGAAGTAGCAGAGGAGGGTGAGATGGAAGGGAGCAGCTTGAGTTTATTTTCCAGCTGGATTTTTAAGCACATCTATTCGAGAGCGTAGGAAGCAAAACCAGCCTCTGATTCTGTCTGAGGACGTGCCCACTGGAAACTGGAGAAGATTTATCCCTGAAGAATGTCCTGGCTGCTTGTTCTTCCTCTGAACTCACGTTCTCATAGTGACAAGGCAGAGGTGAGTTTTCCATCCCACATCCTCCTGTCCTCTCTGGGATGTCCTCCAGTCCCTTTGACACCTTTATGGTCCTGGAGCAGCCTCTCTGCAGGAGCTCTGTGGTGCTGGGGAGCACAGACCTGGACACAGCACTCCAGGTGGGCCCTCACCAGTGGGAAACTGAGGAAGGAATGCTCTTCCTAGAGCAGCCTGGGATGCTGTTGACTTTTTTTGACACCCAGGTACACTGACAGCTCAGAGATTTCTCCGCCATGCTGCTGTCCAAGCTGCTCAGACCCAGCTGTGTGCTGGGTATTCCTCAGCTATGTCTTTCCCTCTGTTGAAACTTAAATTTCATACACACATACCTCACCAGCACCATTTGACAGGAGAGTCTATTGTTGGTTACAGAGGGATTTAGCAGGTTTGTCAGACTCTTACCACCATCTGCTGTTGAGACAGCTAAAATGAGTCAGACAATTCTTAATTGACCACTGGACAAAAGTGAAAGCAAGCTAAATGATGCTGACAAGGCCTGAGTCCCTGCACTGTCAGATCAGCATTGTTTACAAGATATGTCAATAAAAAACCCCAATATGGAAATTATGGATTATGGAAATAAAAGCATTTTGTCTTCCTCTTTAAATTGGATAGAACTATGGTTTCTCCACTCTTTTCTCTTATTTAGGGAGTGGCTATGCTCAACCCTTAACCTGCTGGCCATGGTGTAATCAGGGACTATGAAGTATTTTCAAACTAGAAAAATAGTAGGTCCTTAATTAGGGTTGGTAAATTACTGCAAGTGCTTATTTTTCAGACATGATTTCTTACTGCCTGCTAATCTGAAAGTCTACCCTTACAATAAAAAGTGTGAGAAATTTAGATGAGCAAAAGTTGAAGTTGGTCAAATATGCAGCAGAGAATTGATTGCTTGGTGACCTTGTCCTGGTGACAAAGGCTTTTGTTTTACTGCCTTTTTTTTTCTCTTTTAATTAATCTGTTGAAGTCGGAACTGATTTCAGACTTGGTGTCAGGAGTGAAAAAAAAACCTTTGTGCACTCTAACCCCATCAACTTACTTGAATTTCCTTGCATGAAGCAGATATAAAATATACAGTGAACACGTGATGAATAGGAAAAAAGTATATAATGGATTTCAGAGTGGGTGATTTTGACTTTAATGTAATGAAGGAAAAATCAGAGAAAGACTTGTGCAATGTAACCAGATACTCAATAGAATCACAGAACCATTTAGACTGGCAAAGACCTCTAACACCATCAAGTCCAACCTCAGCCCTGCCAAGGCCACCACTAACCCGCATCCCCAAGTGCCACATCTACGTGGCTTTTAAATCCCCAGGGATACAAATTTGCAAAATCAAGGATCCTGGAGCCAGAGGAGGAGAGAGCAGATGTACAACACTGGTTAGGTTGCTGCTTGCCAGGAGGAGCCCTGAGGAGAAAGGAATTCCCTCCTCTGAGGAACATTTATCAGCAGAAGGACAAAAGCAGAGCCTACTTGCAGGAGAAGAAAAGGTTTTTCACTATTGCCTCAAATTACTCAATCAGCAAAGGAAAGAAGAGTTTTGCCTGTACATGTTTCTATTCTGAAATGGGTAAATACCTCCATATTTCTCACCCAAGAAAGGCAAAACACTGTAAAGAGCAAAGTGCAAGTGTAGCATTTCAGGTGGCAGTGGAGTCCTCTAAAATGCTGCACTTGCCATGTCCTCTGTTTGCAGAACTACAGTTTACATTTATTTTGCCCTTTAACTTAAATTTGAGAATCTAAGATTTAGTGACAAGCACGTTATTAAACCAAAAAAATTGTATGGAGACAGAGACTGCCATTACCATGAGCCTGCAGATGTTTTCTGTTTAAATGAGAGTTGGAGCTGCCATCAGACACTCCTAACTAGAGACTGGGGTGGAATGGACTCTAAGATTTCTTCTAATCCAAAGCCTTCTATGATTCTATGAAAGACAATAAAATTAACCTAAATATTCAAATTTTACAGAGTAATAAACTACAAGTCAGATAAACACTTAAATTTTAAAAATAATTATTTTCATTAAAAGCAAAAAGTGCTGCAATCATCAAAAAAACAACACATGACATTTAAAGAAAAAAATTAAAAAGATAGATAAAGTACTTTAAATAATGTAATGAAAACATCAAATTATTATCTACAATAGAATGGTTTTTAAAGTCCCTTTCTTAGACTTTTCTTTTTTATATTTCTTCTTTATAGTCTCTTTAAGGTATTGAATTAGTTTTAGTTTTTCAACAGCATTAAATAGACATTATCACATCTTTGAAAAAGAACTGTGAGATTTTCAAAGACATTTGTGTAGCAGATGTTTATTTAGCAGCCAAAATGAATCAGAAATATCTAAATTCCCCAGCCTATTCTGAATGCATCAATATACATATCTTACTGGGCTTGAAGCTGTCTGTGTAATTTAATTCTGTAAGGTCTCAGGGATACAAATTTTATATCTGCAATTGTGAGAGGCCTCATCTTCCTATTGGTGCTTTTTAATGCTTTGTCCAAGTGCCATGGAATTAAGACCATTCTAACATCTCATTCTGATAAAACTCATGTTCTTTAATGCTACAGATACACCTGTGTTCTATTTTTACATGCTTCAGCAGTAAGGTTCCTTATAGATAAAATAAATAGATTAAATATAGATTAAAATATACTATTATTTTTGCTGACATTAGATTTTGACTTCCTTCATGTATTTCTTATCTCACTATTTCAAAGCAGGGAAAATACAAATGTTTTTCTGAAGCCATTTTGTGAATTCAGCAATGCAGCACCAAAATTTACTGATTTACTGATGGCTCTTAGATGAGAAAGACACAGGTAATTTTATGCTCAATTCATAGAGTCAGAATCCATGGAATTGTTCAAGACCTGGTTGGACAGGTCTGGAAATTTTTATGCTGCATTGATATTGTACAAGATATAAATGACTCATAAAGCAGTAAGAAAGTAATATTTTAAATAATTTTCCTATTTGTTCACCATGTCTAAGAATAGGTTCACCTTTTGAAATCTCATATACACAGTCATCAAATATACATTCTATGTGCTAACTCACATCTGTACCTCCACTTCCTGCTAAGAATTTAAGCCAAACAGAAAAGCAGAATAATTTCTCACACTCTTAAACTTAGCCAAATGATAAAGAATCTTTATTCCACAAGCACCATGTGGAAGTACAAAAACCTCATGGCACAGAAATCCATGTTCTGCAAAACCTGACTCCAGTACAGTGAAAAAACAGCATTTCCTCAAGCTATCACATATTTTTTTTCATTCCTGGTCTGGTGGAAAGTGTCCCTGCCCAGGTTGGGTGGGTGGAACTAGATGATCTTTAATGTCTGCTGCAATTCAGGTCTTTCCATGATTCCAGGATGATTTTATTATTGTATTCATTCTAAAGAACTGAAAACCATGAAAAAGGCATAAAGAGGTTCCTTCCAGTTTCCTGTGCATATTTTCAAAATAAGCTTTTCTCAGAGCAGAATGAAATAAAAGTTTTGATCAAGAAGATTTTAATGTTTACAGACTACAAATAATGTAATTGCAAAAAAGAAAAGCTCCCACCTCTATCCATTTAAAACAGTAATTTTTTGTTGTTTTTTTAGCTTTGGTGTTTTTTTTAGAAACTGTTAATTTTTTATGAATATTGAAGATTTTTAAAATGTTTTTTTTCATTTATGGTGCTTCAATGTTTTGCTTACAGAGGAAAAATTTAAGAATTCCACAGCCACTGTAATTCCAATTTAGAATGATATTTGCTTTCTTTCTTTCTTAACTCAGCTGGTTTTGACACCTTTTGTTAGTTTTATGCCAACTTAAAACACTGGAACTACTATTTATATTCATCTGCTTGATGAGCTGTGTAGTTATTTCATAGATCTTCCTCTAAATAATTCTGAATGTCACTTAAGTGCTCCATCTTACCTCATTTTGGGCATGTTTCTTTCCTTGGCAATAAGATTGAAAGAATATAAATAAAATATATTTTTTTTAATGGTGGAGAGTCCTCCCAAACTGCTGTTATCACTTCCAGTTAATGAGCACTTGTACCGGCAGGAGAAGGGGATGGTAATGGGATGAATTACCTGTCCAGCTGCTGTGAATCTCACAGGAGAGAACAAAAAGCACAGCAGCGACTCTGGTTCAAGAACTGAGGGGGGACAAACCCTTTCATTTGTTTTTTGGCATTTCTAATTCTATAAGAAACTCCTTTCAGGAACCCTAAGTCTTTTGGTGTTTGTTTGAGGTGACAGAACACAAGAGATTTCTTATTTGGATTTAACATGGATGTAAAATAAATTGGATAAATACTAAATGAAATATTCTAATTAATCTCAGTAGCTTGAGGAAGGGACTATTTAAAAAAAAATTAAATTGTGGCATTCTCAAATAGAGGAACAAGATTTCCCTGCAGAAATAATAGATAATGTACCAAAACATACTATTACAAAACACTTGGTATTTTCAATATCTTTCTCATTAAATGAACTTTAATATAATAAATTTCTGGTACTTTCTCTGTATTGAAGTTTCTACAGTTGGGCTTTCAGTGTTTCTGTACTGACTTATTGTGAAGGAACTTATGAAACAGTCAGAAATTCAGAAACTCACAGGCCGGAGTAACCAATTTCACAGTTTCTGGGTTTTGGTAGTTTGTGCTCATAAACATGTTACATCTATTTTCAAACTGAATGAGTGGGGTTTATATCCTCAAAGATTTTAAACTTAACAGCTGAGTTTTGATTTTTTTTTTATTTTATTTTTTTTTTTATTTAGTAAGTAGATGTCCTTCAAATAACCTGATGTTGGACAATGTTGCCTAAGGTGTGTGAAATCTCATATCAAAATACTGAGAAAGGCTCCTTTGCACATTTGAGTCTTATTTTCAGAATATAAGTGGTGTACTGCTTTTGCAATAGCTCCATAATTGGATTTAACTCCAGTGGAAGAAAATTTAGTCAAGAAA